ATGATAATTTGGCCTCTGCTAAAGAGCCTAGTTTGTCTCCAGCCTATGGCTTAAACAGATCTGATGGTTTACCAATCTATCTTGACTATATTAACAAAAATCCATTTCACACAATTATCAACTTTATCCCAACAACATAATTTAAGATATTCAAACTTATTACAATATTCCTAATTGGATATCATTTGACATCACCTTCCTTAATAGGGTTATTTCCCATACAGATTTGGCAGATGCAGGATTTTTTTTTAATAATCAGAATCATCCCAAGCAAAGCAGTAATGATACTAAAATGCAAGGGGTTACTGGGTATGGAAGAATTAGGAACAGAAACAGGATGTGGGTGAGGAGTGACTGGAGCAATAATATTGCAGATTGGATTTTTTTTTTATCTGCCTAATACCATATTTTTCATTAAATTTTTTTTTAAAATTAACTTTTTGACAAAAAATTCATTTTGATTAAAAGTTGAAACAAAACATTTCAGTTAATTTGTAAATATTTAAAGATTATTAGTCATGAAAGAGAAAAAAAACTAACATGTATTCTGTATTTGTAGAGTATTCTATTCTGATAGTCAATCCTCCAGAGATATCTCCTTTTTACAAGTAAAAAAAAACAAAAAAAAAAAACAGTTTCTTATCTAATAATGAAATATTTTCCAAATAACTATATTTGCTTTTCATTAAAGTGTGACCTAAAGATACATTAAGCTCTTCAATCATATTTAGACAGACTTTTTTTTTTTTTAACAAATTTTCCCAACTTAGAAAGTATTACCTTTAGAAAAATAATAAAAAGCTTGCATGTTAGAAAAAAAATCAATTTCAATGACAATGAAAGAAATTGAAACTCGGTTAAACTTGCACACAACCATTTTCTGAAAGTAAGTAACAAAACCTGTCAGAATCTATTAGCTAAGATAGAAAGTTTAGTTTCTATAATGAGATTTGAGAACAAAGGATGCAGATAATAAAATTATTTTCATCCTTCGTTTTAAATTTGTCTGATGATTTAAGTTTTGGAAGGATTCATAAACTGATCATAAATGAATAACTTCTATTTCTATTAGAACTAATCAATTATCAACTCAAATAGGAAGAAGAAATTGTTTTTATTTTTGTCTTTTCAAAGTCATAGCAAAATAACACTTTGAAAAAAATTTGAGCAAGGCTGCAAAAGCAGATGTAGAGATAGATTTGAATCATGAACTACTACCTGACCAAATTGAAAAGGAATTCTGTTGAGGAATGTAAATAGAATAACAGAAAGCAACTATAATTCAAATGAAATCATTTTTAATATTCGTTTGGCACAACTATTAATGTAGCAACTGAAACAAAACTTGTTTTCAGGTAATGATTATTATTATTATTATTATTATTATTATTATTATTTGAATTTGAAATGATTAGGTAATGTGTGAAGAAGCAAGCAACTTAAAGTAAACTTGTCTCTTTTCAAGAAATGGTTAGCTTTTACACAGAGTAAAAAGCAACCAAGAATAAACATTTCTAATTGAGAGGGAGCAAAGTAAATGGAAAATTATTAATTAAAAAGGAAGTCATTCTTTTTGTCATATTTCCTGTGTGACATCCAGTTGTAACTTGCTTTAATTAGATGGAAACACAAAGACTTCTATTTTGACAAACATTACAAACTATTTGCATTACTGATGTAATTAAGTTAATCAACAACATGACAGAAGAACTAGAAAATTACTGAGAAAAGAAAATTACTTAACATGCATGTCAAATATACTTTAATATTTATTGCATCAAATGCATATTTAAATGTTCCTATCAAGCACAAAATGACATGAAATTTGAGTATGCCAAACTAAAGTCAAATAACACTGTGTCATCAATATACAAGCAATATTTAAATACAAGTAAATAAAATCTATTGAAAATTAATTTAAAAGAAAAAATAAGGGGGATAATTGCTGGTTTTAAGCTATGTTCTTATATTCTGAAATGCCCACTAATAAAGAAAATTTGTATACCATTTATCCTTTAAAATTTTTATCACTATTTAGTACACTGTTTTGCCTTAAACACTTTTCTTAGAAAATTGAGTACTATTTAAAATCTCGTTTGTTTATATTTGCATAAAGAGATATTGGCAGAAGCAATTAGGCAAAACATGGTATGAACATTGCAACTATGACAAGTGGGAATTCTCAATCAACTCCCCAACAAAAGAAACCAGTATTCAAACTAAGTATTATCCTTCCTTTTTTCAAGTACAACTTAAATTTATATGTTATCAGAAAACATCTACTTAATATTTCATTCCAAGTAATTGTTAAATTGTTGAATTATCAAAAATAAAAAGCATTTTACTGAAAGTTACAGAAATTCAATATGAATCTGAAATAAGGAGAATATTTTGTAGTGGTAATTTTACATTAAAAAAGATTTAAGTGTTTGAAATTATCAGCTTCAACATATTTGGTAATTCTGACAGTGATTACTTTTTTTTTATTTAAAGCAACATCAAATAAGTTATAAAACAGATTTAAAAATAACATTTGTTGGCATTAAAAAAAAAAAAAAAAAAAAAAATTTCAGATGAACTTTTTAAACTTTTTTTTTTTTTTTTTACAAATCTTAAAATATTCAATTCATTCTTTCAATGTAAATATATTTTTAAATTCTGAAACTTAAAATTTTAATAAATTACTAAGTTAATGGGTATATTTTTAATCTTTTGTATTGTTCTTGGAAGTCATCCCCTTCAACTACATCTGCTTTTCTCTTGCCAGAATTGTTCCTTTATATATGTAAAAAAAAAAAAAAATCCCTGTCCATTTTAACCATATCTGTAAGCCTTCAAATGTACAATACTCTCATTAATCATGTGACACTTAACCTGTCTCAACAAACTAGTTCTTTGCACATGAAAAAAAAAAAAAAAAAAAAAAACGCTGACAAAGATACAATGACACATCAAGTATTTAATGTTGACCGCTAACCCATGTAACCATTTTCGTTTCTGCACTCTTTCAACTACTGACATGATTTTTTTTCCTTTTTTACTTGGTAGTTAACCAGGGTGTATAATTCATGGTGAAATCAAAGTTTTATAAATTAGAGAATTTGGTAAACAGAGCTTAACATAAAAAGTCATTAAAATCCCCCTCAATAACGTTTGAAGATATTTTTACTGTTGAATTAATTTTAGAGGCTTGAACAAGTCACATATTTAGTAATTATGTGTGTTTGTAGGATGTATAATAGTAACTGAAACAAAAGTGAAAAATTTATTAATAACACATTTTGCAGTGAGTATCTACTCTTTGGTTTTCTCAGGACAAAACTGTATGTGAGGAAAAATGCCTTGGGATCTCTGAGGATAAGTAGTAAACATAAATCAATAGATAACTTATCTCCAATGTTCAAACTCAAGGAATCCACCTGTTTCTTATATAGATAAAACAAACAAACAGGCAGACAGAGGCATTTCCTCTTGTTGGATTTTAAATCAGTCCACTAAAACATAATATATACATATATTAGAGCCTTTTTTGTATATGCCTGGATGGATGTGTATGTATGTACACATATGCAAGTATACATGTATATCATAAAAAACACTAGTTTCAGTGGACTGATTTAAAAACCAACAACACCAAACACCTAAGATATATCTAAAACAAACAAACAGGTGGGCAGATACCCTCTTGTGAGTGGACATTGGAGGTGATGTGGTAATCTAATTTGATTTATCATTACTACTACTACTTATCCTCCCTAGAGATCCCAAGACATTTTCCCTCACATACAGTTTTGTCTGTCTTTCATTCTAATCTGCGGAAGCCAAAGAGAGCAAACACTCTAGACAAAATACATTAATAAATTTTCCCCTTTGTCTCACATATTTAGTAGACATAAATAATATTCTTTTTAAATGTTGATTCTTAATGTTAGAATGGTAAAATATATAAAAATAAATAAAGAAAATGAATTGGGAGAATTATTATAGCAATGTAATTATAATTTTGCAGAATAAGAATAAACTTGGTATCACTGGCTTTTAAGTATGTTAATCATTGCAAAAAAGCAAATTAAATAAACTTATACAATATTCCAAAGTCATTTAATAACATCACCCCATATATATACAACTATAACTTATATATATATATATATATATATATATATATATATATATATATATATATATATATATATAGTAGTTCTTTTTTTTTTTATTTTATTCCTACCAATTGTTTTTCATCCAAAGTTCCTTGAAATATGTGATGGTAAGAAACAAATATAAATGTTTCACTATCTATGCTATGTGTAAATGCAATATTGGCATTTGAAAATGCAGCTTTAATTAAATTTGGGTATACAATATTTTTAGAGAAGCAACAGATAAATAAAATGGAATTTGGGATATTTTAAACTAAAGTCATCGAATAAAAATAGGTAAAATTTCTGTTATGGATCCATTTCCTTGTGATGTTCTAGTTATGTTTGGTCATGTGCCAATTTTTGACAAGCTTAATAAATAAAATTTTAAATCATTTTTTTTTTTTTAGTGAAAAAAATAGCACAACTATTTTGAAAAGGATTTGAGTGCTGGAAGTAAATCAAAATCATTAAATTTATACTTAAAAATCAAGTCTGTGATAAATTCTTTACTCTTGTCTTTGAACATTTTTGACAGAAAACTTACTGAAGAGTATATAAAATACAAAAATTGAATGAAAATATACATAAGCTGATTTTTAAATTCTAATGATTACCAAAAGAACATTTGATATTAGACAATGATTAACATACTTAAAAGCCAGTGATACCAAGTTTGTTCCTCAAGTGCAGACCAATGCCAGATTAAATTTAAAATTAATCAAAATTTAACACATAACAACATGGTCTAAAAAATTTTGGTTCAGCTAAAACAGAAAATATGGCAAACAACTTATATAGATAATCATGAAATAGGTAAATCTAATGGTCAGTATTTTAAAAGATAAAATAAATACTTACCAAATTATTTTTTTTTCTGCTGTGCTAAGAATTTGCTTAAGGAAAAATGTCTTTTGTTGAGAATCTATGTTAGAATTCTAGGTGCAGAATTATTTAATTGTTGAAAAATGCTTTAAATAGGAGAAAATAATGAAAATAAGTTAGAATTCCATAGTCATTTGGTCTTTAAATTGGTAGAACCTTGGAAAAATGGTAACTTCCTTTTCATCTCCATTATTGTATTTTGAGGTGACTGTAAATAAAAAGAAAAAACATGAATAAAGTACATTTTACTTGTATTTTGAAATAATACTTAAGCTATACATGCAAAACTAAGTATTTGATTTTCTTAACTTTTACCAAACTTCTAATTAATGCTTATATTGAAGATTTTGTGTGGATGTATGGAATAGTGGAACTAATTTGAAATTTGCTATCAATTATAAAATATCAAAAATGTTTTTAAAGAATAGCAAATACATACTTTTCTCCATGGCAGATCTTTTAGTGCATATTGAATTATGCAATTTGAAAAGGGGACAATTCTGCATGTGTGAAATCAGTTTTTTCTAATATGACTATTGACTGAAGACTTATGCACTGGATTATTACAAATAACTTTTCTTTGGCACTAACATTCAAATTGGTCCACATATGGATATTCAAACTGCTAGAAACATTTAATATGCAGGGAGATGCAGGCTCAAATTTATTAAAGAATTAAGGAGAAACCAGATTTTAATGTAAAAATCATTTATGCCATATATTAATGAGAAATAATGCAAATTTAATTCATTTTTAACATTTTATATTCAATTTACATAAAATTTCCATTGATTTAACAGATTTAAATCAGATAATCTTCCTCAACAAGCAAAGTTTCAGAAAAGTATATACCAGGATTCATTATTTGCAGCCACATTCTTAACATGAGGGTATGTAGATGACACAGTGTGGGTAGCAGACACAGAAAAAAAAACTCCCACAGAAGGTAGTGAAGGAAAGTAAGAAAAAAATGATTAAACAGCAACAAGATAAAATACATGGTTGTTAACAAAAGGATGAGCCCAAAATGTGAATTGCAAATCAAAGATGCCAAAATCAAACAAGTGCAAAAATTTAAAGATTTGGAAAGTGCTTTAACAGAGGATGGCAAGATTGATACTGAAATATGAAGGGATAGTCAAGGAAGCACTTCAAATAGAAAAAATTTCACTAGAAACCAGGAAAAGATTACTAAACTGCTAAATCTGTATGGCAGTGAATACGGGATGATATCCTGAAAGAAGTTGTTCTACAGAAAGATGCTGAGGATACCATGGACCAAACATGTGAGCAACAACAAAGTGTTGGAGAAAATGGAAACAAAAAGGAAACACCAGGAAGAGACAATTGCGGTTTCTTGGGCACATAAGGAGTGCTTGGAAAATTTGATACTCACGTGACAGAGAGAGAGAGAGAAAGAGAGACAGAGGGAATGAACGCATTACTAAGTGAGCATGAGTAAATGGATGGCAGAACAGGACTTCCTTAGGAGAAATAACAGAAAGACAAAATTTAAAAAGGGACAGGAAGTTGTGTAGAGCCATGATCGCCTACCTCCTGAGAAGAATATTTTGTTTTTAAAAGATTTTTTTAATAAAGAGAATTACGTTGTGCCGAGAGAATTGTAAATATGGCCAAAAAAAAAAAATCAGCAACTAAAGTAAAAATAAATAATTCCAATCAATTTAATTAATACAACATTCGTTTAGCGAAATATTTTGCTTATATTGGAAATACTAAAAAAGGATTATTCCAGTGCACACTTCTTTTACAATGGGATATTGCAGTCTTATTAAAAAAAAAAAGTTATAAGCTCTAAAAATTAATCATTTAAAAATAAAAATTATTCCCCAGCAGGGATTTGAATTCATATTTGAAGTAAAAGAAGGATGTAAAACTTAATGTCCATAAAAATATTTAAAAAAAAAAATGTTATTGGGAGTTTTTTGGGAGTAGAAATTACTAACAAGAAATATCCAAACAATCTCATTCGTAATCTGAATTATTGTAGCCTGGAAAATTGGGAAACGAGGGAGATGCTGTTTTTCACAACTGACCCAAACATTACTTTTTCTTTCTTTTTAACTTCGTAATTATTCGAAAACCTTCATGTTTAACGACCGCCAAAAAGTTTTTATTCCAAGTTCTAATGTTCATCTCATATCTAAAGAAACCATGCGAGAATGAGAAAAAACGATTTACACCCCACCAGTATTATGAAAAAAAAAAAAAAAAATGATAGATAATATTTATAACAACTTTTTCTGCTAAAAGAATATGACCATCCACATGGTGGTAGAAAAAAAACAAACTTAATAACGTGGGAAAATTAAATAAAAAATAAACTTTCTTTACTAGAAAGTGAAAGATCCAGAGAATTTTTCTATCGTGTAACTTTCACTGAGTGAGAGAAAAATTAAGTGTCCAACGAGCTAATTTTAAAACCAAAAAGAAATAAAAACATCTTAATACTAAATGCAAAAATAGACATGTAGCAAATATACTTGCCACAAATATTTAAAAGTCATAGCTGCAAGAATTAGTTTTTTAAAATAAGCGTTGAAGTTTATGCAAAACGCGAAACATTGTTTTTTTTTTTAAAAATAAATCCAATTATTGACCTGACGAAACGACTTTTTTTCTTTACTCATTTTTTACTGATATCTCACAATTAACTATATTATTAACTTTAAATGAACTTTCGAAACTTGTACAGTGTAAACCGGATATAAGAGAAACCCAGATATAAGAGAGATTTTCTCTGGTCCCAAAGTGTTCCCATACTTACTTAAACAAAATAGACCATACCCGGATATAAGAGAAACCCGGATATAAGAGACTTCTTCTCCGGTCGCGACAACTCTCTTATATCCGGGTTACACTGTATCTTGATATAAAATTAGGATTACAATACAAAAATACAGTGCAGAATAAGCAAAAACCACAGCAAAAATAAAAATGGCAGGGGTGATTAGACCACTATTAAAAATTAAAATTTAAATATTTATCAAACTGACTGTTTGAGTAAGGAATATTGGTCTACACACACACTTGCATAGAAACTTTTGGAATCTTCTAGCAATATTTCAGTTAAAAAAAAAAAAAAAAAAAAAATTACGACGAGTAATTAAAAAAAAAATTGAAGCAAAAACAGCTGGTATATCAACTTGTAAAAAACTATTGGTAGTGAACTTGACATGTATGGTTTAAATAAAATCTCATACTCCACAAAACAACAGTTTATGGAGACATTTGTATTGTAAGGAAGTTCGCACCTGAACATTTGGAGAAGCCTGGTAATTTTTGGAAGAACGTCCTTTGGTTGTAGGAAGTTAGAAATGAACTCATCTTGTCACATCAACGGGTGAATGTACAGTAGAAACAATGCACTGACAATATGTACCAAATTATTAATTCCCATAACAGTTACATTTAAAGTAAATTCCATGGGGAAAAAAATTAAATCTAACATGGAACCACCTCTTCTCCCGGAATTGTACAATTAAGGAAGACTGCCCAGTAGAGGGAAGTGCAGATCCACTAGGGTAGTATACCATGCAACCATTACCCCTAAAGGAAATACGACAAACCATAATATTTACATCGGCATTTCTGCAGGAGAATTTAAAAAGAGAATCATTTCACATAGACACTCATTCACCAATCCAAAATTAAAACACCAAACAGCCCTTTCGAAAAAAAATTGGGAATTGAAGGAAAAGGGTCTAAATCTTCATAAATTGGAAAATTCTAGGTTTCCAATAGTTTTAGGGATAGGTGCAAGCTATGTTTAGAAGAAAAAATAGGATAATAAAATATAAAGATCAATGCAAACTATTAAATTAACGAAGAAAACTAATCACGAAATATAGACATAGGAAAAAATTCCAAATTACATAAGAATCCATGTGCATATATATGGGTGTGTATGGGTGTGTATGTGTACGTATAGTGGAATATATGTATGGACATGTCATGTACATACATGTATGAAGATATGTACGCATATAAGTGTTTTGGACAGCATGATTTATTCCATTGGGTGTTCGGGTATTAACCACAAATCTATAACTCAACTAATTTACATTAATCTTAAAGGGTTTAAGTTTAAAATTTTGAAATTAATCCCATTGCTGTTCGCTACAAGAGTATTTTATTAAAAAAAAAGGCCAGCTTGTGTTAAATAAGTTTCAAACTATTATTTTTTAATGGAAATGTATTTGGCTCAGCCATTCTGAGGCTGATCTTAAGGTCAAATAGTAGACAAAGTAGGGATGTCGATTTTGATTGGCTAAGCCGAACGTTGGTATGTTATAGAATGTTTTACACGTCATACACATTAGACGTTGTTATTTCTTGTCTCAGGGAACTTGCTCACTAGTGGGGGTGATAGAACGATTCCACTGGCTAGTTAGAAGATGTACACATTTACGTGTTAATAAAATAGATAGGATTAAAATGTCCTTTATTGATGTTTCTTTCATTCTCTCAAACATTTCAACACACGTCCGGGAAAAGACGGCCGGAAGATGACAGAGAGAAGAATGCAACATATGAGTGAATCAAGACCGTCGTCCCAAGACTACAGCCAGCAAGAAATAATTTTGATTTAACGCTTTGAGTATTTTACTAAGTTTCATAAAAGTAGGTACCTCCACGATAGCGATAGCTAAGGTTTAAAATGAATTTTTAAAATTCAAATCTTTCTTGAAGCATTTATTTTAGTTTTAATTTCAAGCTGAGAGATTAAATTTAATATTTCCAATAAGCTATGCTGTATTTCAAAACAAATTTAAATTGATTGGAAGGAAGTTTTGAAATGGCTTTCATTCATTTGTGAATAAGTCCTGAAATTTAATTAAAATACGACAATATTTTATTTTTTTAAAGAATTTCCAAATCAGTGTTTTTCACCGTAAAAAAAGACGCTAAAATCTAAACTTTAACCAACATTTCGAATGTTCTTAAATGTATTAAAAATATAATTTAATAATCAAAAAATTTGGTTTTTCCGCTTAAAGATTTTGACGATAAAACCTTGTTTTTAATAAACTTGGAGCATTTTTATGGTAGGCTTTTTTTTTTTTTTTTAGCGAATCTGTGGAGGTGCCTACATAAAAGTATAAAACTAAGAAATTCTATTCTTAAACTTTTGGTTATATAGGATTATGATAATTTTTTTAATCAATGGTAATAAAAGTTGGTTTT